TTATAGGCTACCACAGACACCAGGCCACTGACACTATCAGTGGCTTCTACTATATCACAACACACAGTGAAGGATATAAGTATTTGATACCCTGCTGATTTTGAATGTTTGCCCACTCACAAAGAAATGATCAGTCTAAAAATTGAATGGTAGGTGTATTGTAACACTGAGAGACAGAATAGCAACAAAACATTCAAAAGAAATGCATGTCTAACAAATTATGCACTGATTTGCATGTTCATCAGGGAAATAAGTATTTGATACCCAATCATTCAGCAAGATTTCTGGCTACCAGGTGTCTTTCATACAGGTAACAAGCTGAGATTAGAATCAGTCTCTTAAAGGGAGTGCTGCTAATTTCATTTTGTTACCTGTATAAAAGACACCTATCCACAGGAACAATCAAACAATCAGATTCCAAACTCTCCACCATGGCGAAGACCAAAGAGCTGTCTAAGGATGTCAGGGACAAGATTGTAGACCTACTCAAGGCTGGACTGGGATAGCAAACTATCGCCAAGCAACTTGGTGAGAAGGTGACAACAGTTGGTGCAAATGGAATTCGCAAATGGAAGAAACACAAAACAACTGTCAGTCTCCCTAGGTCTGGTGCACCATGCAAGATCTCACCTGATGAAGTGTCAATGATCATGAGAACAGTGAGGAATCATCCCAGAACTACACATGAGGATTTTTTCAATGATCTCCAGGCAGCTGGGACCACAGTCACCAAGGAAACGATTGGTAACACACTACGCTGACAAGGATTGAAATCCTGCAGTGCTTGCAAGGTCCCTCTACTCAAGAAAGCTCATGTCCAGGCCCGTCTGAAGTTTGCCACTGAACATCTGAATGATGCAGAGGAGGACTGGTTGAAAGTGTTGTGGTCAGATGAGACCGAAATCTAGCTCTTTGTCATCAACTCAACTCGCCGTGTTTGGAGGAGGAGGAATGCTGCCTGTGACCCCAAGAACACCATCCCAACTGTCAAACATGGTGGTGGAAACATTCTGCTTTGGGGGTGTTTTTCTGCTAAGGGCACAGGACAACTACACTGCATCAAAAGGACGATGGATGGGGCAATGTACCATCAAATCTTGGGTGAGAACCTTCTTCCTTCAGCCAGGGTATTGAAAATGGGTCATGGAAGGGTGTTCCAGCATGACAATGACCCAAAACAAGGCAACAAAGGAGTAGCTCAAGGAGAAGCACATTAAGGTCCTGGAGTGGCCTAGCCAGTCTCCAGGCCTTAAACAGATTGAAAATCTGTGGTGGAAGCTGAAAGTTCAGTTTGCCAAACGTCAGCCATAAACCTTAATGACTTGGAGAGGATCTGCCAAGAGGAGTGGGCCAAAATCCCTCCTGAGATGTGTGAAAACCTGGTGGCCAACTACAGGAAACGTCTGACCTCTGTGATTGCCAACAAGGGATTTGCCACCAAGTACTAAGTCATGTTTTGTGAAGAGAATCAAATACTTATTTCTCTCATGAAAATGCAAATCAGTGCATAACTTGTTAGACATGCATTTCTTTTGAATTTGTTGTTGCTATTCTGTCTCTCAGTGTTACAATACACCTACCACTCAATTTGTAGACTGATCAAATACTTATTTCCTTCACTATATATATATATATATATATATATATATATATATATATATATATATATATATATATAATGATTTGAAAAGTAAGATTGTAATCAATATATCAATGTACACACGCACAATTTCCAAAATTTTGACAAAAGTGAGTTTTAAATATCATTTGTTTATCTCATTACATGAAAGTAAGGCTAATAAGGTAACTTAGATTACACAAGCTTCAGTTTTACTCAAAATTAGTTGATGCAAAAATGAATACTCCCTGCAAAATAAACTACTACATCTAGTATTTTGTATGACCTCCATGGTTTGTAAGGACAACATCAAGTCTTTTAGGCATAGAATGAACAAGTTAGCAACATTTTTTCCATTCTTCAAGAACAATCTCTTTTAGAGCCTGGATGCTGGATGGAGAGTGATGCTCAACTTGTCTCTTCAGAATTCCCCATAGGTGTTCGATTGGATTTGGATCAGGAGACATTCTTGGCAACTGAATAATTTTCCCCCTATTCTTCAGAAATGCAACAGTGGCCTTAGATGTCTGTATTGGATCATTGTCATATTGGAAAAGTGCACGACGACCAAGGGCACGGAGTGATGTTAGCATTTTCTCTTTCAATACAGAGCAGTACATCTGTGAATTCATGATACCATCAATGAAATGCAGTTCCTTAACACCAGCAGCACTCATGCAGCCCCACAGAAGGACACTATCTTCACCATGTTTCACTGTAGGCACCATGCATTTTTCTTTGTACTTCTCACCTTTGCGACAACATAGTTTTTGAAACCATCACTTTTCAAAAACATTTATCTTGGTCTCATCACTCCAGAGTACAGAGTCCCAGTAGTCTTCTTTTTCAGCATGGGCCCTGGCAAATAGCTTTTTTGTGCATGGGCGTTAGGAGAGGTTTCCTTCATAGATGACACCCTGCATGCCACTCCTTTGCAGTGTACACCGTATTGTGTCACGAGAAACAACCCCCTAGTTTGGTTTTCTACTTCTTTAGTTAACTGCAGTGAACTTGCATGGCGATTTTCTTCAACCCTTCTCATCAGAAGACACTCCTGCCAAGGTATTAACTTCCATGGATGGCCTCTGTGAGATCCATCTTTATTACATTTTTTATCACTTTTGCTACAGTATTCTGACTGACAAGTGAAGCTTTGCTAATCTTCTTGTAGCCTTCACCTTTCTTGTGTAAAGAAATTATTTTCTTTCTCAGGCCTTGTGACATTTCTCTTCCATGTGGTGCCATTGCTGACAGCATGAACTGGGAAGGAGTTTTCTTTGTTAAGTAATGCCCTTTTATATAATCAACTGTCTGCTGGACACCTGCTTATTGAATAATTAGACTCACCTGTAGTTACATTTTTGTTAATTAGGATTTAGTTTTTTTGTCTAAAATTTAGCTTTGCTCCTAAGGCTTTCATTAGGGTGTATTCATTTTTGCAACACGGTCTTCAATGATTTTTTGTGTGTGCAAATTAACAAATCTTGTTTGCAGTCAATGGCCCGCATTTGTGGTAGTATTTTGTAGTATCGTGTCCCATAGAAAATGTTGATTCGGAAAGGAAAGGTTTTCTGACAAATCTATTGGGGTATGCTCATTTATGCTGAGTACTGTGTGACATTTCTCTTCCATGTGTGTACACACACACACATATATATATATATATATATATATATATATATATATATATATATATATTGTATTGTATTTTTTTTTTGGGGGGTGGGGTCTCTGTGCACTCAGAAAAGCCTTTTAAATATTATTTTGTGCTTGAACTACAGGCTTTATTAGATTTGCTTAAATAGCAGGGATTAGGTATTGTCGAAACTGAGCAAAGCTTGTAAGTCTTTAGTGAGGAATACTGGATCCAATTAGAAAACAGACTATTACAAAATGGCTGTTGAAGTCCATGATTGTGGACGTTTCTGCTTACTAGTTTTAGATAATAGTTTTCCTAAAAATGTCCAGAGGATTATTTTTTTAGATTCTGTGTCCCAATAGGACACAGCACTGTCACTGACACCTTGCAGCCACAAAGAGTGCAAGTGGCAGCTGGTAACACATAACCTGTTTTGCTATGAGACAGAGCAGTGAAAACGTGTAAACTTCTGAGAATATACAGGATAAACCAAAAGTACTTGTTGGTAGGAAATCAGATTGAAACCTGCCCTTAAAGTCCAATTCCGGGCATAGCCCCACTGCATGGGAAAACCTTTTTGTGCCCGGAGTTGAGCATTAAAGTATTACTAAACCCAAAAACTAAATTTTATTTATTGCAGAATACCAGTTCTTGGATGTGGTGGCTGCATCAGTTTCCTTTTATAGGCTAAGAATATTTTCAACAAGTACAAAGAAATACCCGTTGAACTTGACAAAAATGCAATGTCCTTGTCATTTAAGCTGAAAAGAAAGCACAAACATCCTTATCTTTCTGGTGTAAACTATTAGTCCTATCAATCCATCATGTAATGGAGATGAACAAAGGCAAATATGTTTGAAGTCCAGAATGTGTGACAACCATGACATATTCCATAGATAAAGTGGAGAGATGAGTGTAGCCACGAGGGACAGGAAGTGTGTTACTTATAGGATCACTAGGTGAAAATAAAGATACAAAAAAAAATATAAAAAAGAAAACTAATGCAGCACAACAGGTATTTACCAGTCATACATTCTTTAAATCAAATTAATTTAAAAGCATAAATATCTAACACATTGGGAGAGATTTACTAAAACTGGAGTATACAAAATCTGATGCAGCTCTGCATAGAAACCAATCAGCTTCCATATTTTATTGTCAGGGCTAAATTGAACAAGCTGAAGTTAAAAGCTGATTGGCTACCATGCACAGCTGTACCAGATTCTGATTTTTAGTAAATCTGTCTTGTTAAATACTGTTTCCCTATTCAGGCCCTTTATCAATATATCAACATTATTTTTAAGTGTGCAAGAACATCATAATTTGAGATTAAAAAAAACTGAAAATCGATGTCTATAAGCCACAAAACAAATCACGCACAAAAAGTCCCAAAACTCGTAAAAAAACACAGTTTTAACCAGTCAGAATTGAATCACTTCTTCAATCTTTCTCAATCCTTCTAACAGCACTCATTATAACAGCTGATTTACTATAGCTAATGATAGATAAGTAAAATACATTCAGATGGAACTACAAGTCCAATTACAAAACAGAAGCACACATATGCAATGAAATAAATAAATTGATTATGGGTTCAACAACCCTGTGTACTGCATTCCTTTCATATAACCACCCAACCTCAGACTCATATTTTGAAATGACAAACCTAATAGTTTTTGTGTTGTCAGGAGATGTGATTTTTTTAATTCTTGTGTTTTTTTTTTTACCTCTTGGCTTACAATGTTACATATTTACCTTATTCAGCTGCTCACCTGTAAAGTAAATATCACTCTCCATCACCCAGTTAAGGAAATCCTTCAAGGGGCAGTAACAGTCCCAGGGGTTTGAGCTAAGGCCTAGTGTTCGTAGACTAGGCAGTTCACTGACTGTAGTGACGTCCAAGTAAGTCAGTGCAGTCCGACTGAGATCCAACTGTCGAAGGCCCGTATTGTTGGCAAATGCATCTTTCTCAATCTCCTCCAAGTTAGGATTGTCTGATAACTTTAAAACAACTAAATTTGTCAAAAGATAGAAAGTGGCAGATGTGATCTTGGTGATATTATTGTGGCTCAGGTCCAGATATACCAATGGCATAGCAATGAAAGTGGCTTCCAGGGAATTTCCCAGAATATTGTGGCTGCAGTCCAGGTACACTAGGTCAATCAGAAGATTGAGATCCACTGATGGCAAATAGGTTAGATTGTTGTGAGTTAGGATTAGCTGCCTGGTATCCATTGGGACTCCAGAGGGAAATACTTCAAGCTGTCTGTCTGTACAGTTCACTAAAAGGTGTTCACAAATGCACTCCTTTGGGCAGCATATGCCAAGCTCTATAAGACTAACAACTACACTAAAGAGTAAAATACTCTTTGCTTCCCAGAGAAAATAATGTCTTTGATTATCCATGAAACTGATGTGTCCTGTAGGTTTTCTGCAGAGAATCGTAACCATCTAAACAAGGGCAAAACCTATTTGTACAATGTCTTTTTACAGCAGATGATAACAAGGTAGCGGTCATGTCAAGCAACATGCACATTTTCCTTACCATGTACACTGATGTCTACTGTAACAATTCTCTGCTTATTCAGAGGCTCACGTTGCTCTCATTCTTCAAGTCTCATTGACAGTCTATTTTCACTGCCTGGCTGTGAAAGTGCTGCTGCTTACACGAAGCCACTTTGAACTTGAAAGTGAGGAGGACAGTTAAATAGCTGGCTCGGACATACAAGAGCACACATCTCCCTCTGTTATACCGGTTGCCAATCGACACCTTCATGACGTCAGCTGCTAATCAAAGGCAGCTCTGCTTTTGCTGGAGCAGAACAGTCGGGCATTGCTGAATACTTCGGAAAGCAACACACACACACACAAACACTCTCTTCCCGCTTCTGCAAGGTCACAATGATTACTACTTAATAAGAACTGTAACGTAGAGCTGCCGGTCATAGCTGTTTCATTCTCTGTTTCTTTAAAATGTACAATAGGTTTCCTACGTGCATGTTTTTAAAATGATAGTTGTATTGTTGTTCTTTCTTTGTATTATGGTTTATTGATTTGCTTATTATACTCGTTTCTGTTTTTACAATTTTACAACACACACACACACACACACACACACACACACACACACACACACACACACACACACACACACACATATATTTGTAAAACAGAAAGAAATATAATAAGCAAATCAATAAACCATAATATATATACTACTATACAAGCCCAGACTCAGACAAAAAAAAATAGGCCCCTGAATTTTGGACTGAGCAGCTCCAAGCCCAGGGACCCTTTCCTCGGAGCCCTGAGTGACCTTTGCGACCCTGATAGTTCCACCACTAGGGTTAGTAGTGGTGAGGAGAGAAAGAGAGAGAGAGAGAGAGAGAGAGAGAGAAAGAAAGAAAGGAAGAAAAAGAAAGAAAGAAAGAAAGAAAGAGAAAGAAGGAAAGAAAGACACTGGCGGGGAGTGTGGGCAGGGCATACACAGGAGGAGGGGGCGGGAGGAGTAGGGGCAGAACCAGCTTTCTCTCTCCTCTCTCGTCTGTGGTAGGCGGGGAACTGTCAGCACTGGGGACAGAATATGCTGACAGATGCTCCGCAGCTCTGCAGGGAGGGGGGGGAGCATACAGGAGCCCACGACATGCAGGAGATGGATAGGAGGGGTGGCACATAGAGGAACTGAGAAATGCACAGTCTGGCTCTTTTATGTGCCACCCGGCTGCCCCTCCTATCCAGGGGGTCCCAGCCCACCGGGCAAATGCGTTATAGAATGAAAATGCATCTTTGATATATCCAGTCCGGGCCTGCTACTATACTGTATATATCAAAGATGCACTTGCATTCTATAACACATTTGATATTTTTTTAAGAAAAACTTACATTACATTTTGTATTCATACATTTGCATGAATTAGCCGTGGTTCAGGACTGAAAAAAAATACTGTATATGATAGATAGATAGATAGATAGATAGATAGATAGATAGATAGATAGATCACAAAAGCTTGGCTCTTCCAGTTTACCTGCCTTCATAATAAGAAGATAATTGTGGCTAAGACTAGCAAATATGACAAGCACTGTTTAGGGTTCACTCACATGGGTGATTACCACACCTGGCAAATTCCAGCAGCAAGAACTTGCAAATTCTTGCATCTAGAAGGGGAGGTGTGGGAATATGGAGCTGCGACAGCACAGTTCCATGCACACTGACAACACAGGCTCAGTCTAGGGTATATCTTTTAGAATTTATTGCTAAATAACTTGAAACAGGAGAGGGGTTCAGGGGTTCCAGGGTACTCCAAAATGATCAATAGTAGGACAAACTTCTAGCACAACTCCTTGTAGTAGTAGGAACACATTAAAGTCCCAACCAGGTCTTACAATGACCTAAGAGCTATCTGCCATCCACAGGTAGATCCTCAATGAGGGACATAAAATATTCTTCTCCAGGCTAGAACTTCAAAACAGTGCCCTCCAGGGTTGTCAACCTCACGCATCTTTTTTTTACTCACAGAAAAATTTACTAAAAGAGCAAATTTTTTTACTGACAACCTGAAAAAATTATAGAACTCCTATTAGAAAATAAATCAATTGATATTTAAACAGTATAAACACAATCTGTAAATACTGACAATACCCATAAAAAAGTCAACACAGTATGGCAGATTATCAGCCACCCTGCTGGGATACCATTTAAAAACAAGTTCTGTTATGCATGCCAAAGAGAGCAATGGGCATGACCAGATTGCGTCTGATGATGAAAGTGGACTAAAAGAAGTTGATTGAATAGAAAAGCTCCCTGACCACCTACCACTAAATGAACATAGCAGCTGTTTGGGTACACATTGCCACAGCCTTGATGCTTAATTTTATATAGTGCAGTTTCATGTACTGTGCAGCATCGTGAGCAAACCCTTTGTCAAACTTGCAGGTTGAGCTGAACGAGGCTTGTGGTTGTGAAGAAGACTGGCATTATAATACCGTCTATAACTTTAATTCTTGAACAGTGTCTTTTCAGTGCAGAATACAGTACCTCCATTACACAACCTACAGAATAGCAGTCTCTTCAGTGTGAAGCATTATATAGCACATGGCTTAAAATTTCGAGTCTAGACCTACTAGCCATGCACAAACCTTACTCTCCACCAGTTGCCCCACCCAACCTTGCCCAGGTCCACCTCCAACCCCACCCCCGTCCCATCCCACGCTCCCTTAAATCTTATGAAATTATATTTTTCTTTAGAATAAAGAGTCCAAAATATAAAAAACTTCAATTATAACATAGCTTTATTATGTCAATTTAAACATAATTTTAAACTTGTTGTATTTTTTATCTCCAGCAGAGACCTTAGAGAAGTGTGGCATTAAGAAAAATAAAGTGCCTCTTTTGATGGCCAAAAAACATTGCATAAAATAAATAACAATAGTAAACATTTTGCAATTTTTATCTCCAGCATCTTATTAAAAGAGAGCTTAGAGAAGTAGTACATTAAGAAAAATCAAAAAAATGCTTATTTAGATGCCAAAAAACATGGCATAACAATAGCAAACATTTTACCAAAGATGTGCTAATAGAACAGCCATGGTTTGTGTTGTACAGCAGGACCAAGACTTGTGTAATACCCTTTTTCTTCAATGGCTGTGTGTGGATTGCATTCTGTTCAATTAAGGAAAAAAATTATTTTTTGGATGACAAAAGCAGTAGGAAGCCAGTTTCACATCAAGATTTTGCAATGGTTTTCATTGTACAGCAGGACCAAAACTTGTTTTTTTTTTTTTTTTTTTTTTTAATTTAAATATTTATTTATTTTCAGAATAATATACACATTTCTTCATCAGTTTATATACAAAAAGATCATTTTCCAAAACTCTATAATTACTTTACAACCCCTAGTTTCTTCCCTGTACCACCCCCGAACCCCCACCCAAAAAACCCACCCCCCCCCCTACAATGCCTCCATTTTCCAATTAATAAACCCTCCCACTCTGCATACTTCTAATGACTTTTCCCTTAATAAATATACAAGAACTTCCTCCTAAGATATTACTTCGTAGATCTTGCTACAAAATCTTCCCATTTTCTCCACTTCTTAAAAAATAACCCCATCTTGTCTACTTGCATGTAGTATAATTTCTCCATCTTACATATCTGATTTGTTCTTTCTACCCAGTCCTCCTCTCTCGGTATCTCTGGTCTATGCCAAAACCTAGGAATCAGACCTTTAGCCGCATTCAAGTAATGCCATACACCGGAGTCTTTATATCTATTTACTGGTAGATCTGTACTATGTAATAGACACACCTCAGGGTTCAATCCTATTTTTATCCCAGTGATTATCGAAATAAATTGGACTATTTTCTCCCAGAAGGTTTGTATCATTGGGCACTCCCACCATAGATGATATAAGGTACCTATTCTTCCACATCCCCTCCAACACTCTAAAACCTTTCCCCCATTCATCTTGTGTTCCACGTTTGGTGCAATGTGCCATCGCGATAAACATTTATAATTTACCTCCACCTCTCTCATACTTATATTTTCGTGTATCAACCTATATATTTTCCCTGTTTTTCCTCATCTATCTCTAGTTCCAAGTCTCTTTCCCATTTTGCTATATACAGTGGCTTTGTGTGTGTAACTAACTCGGTGTGAGAATTTATATACCTTAGCTGTGCCCCGTTTCCCATCTCCGCGTGCATCTAACAACCTCTCAAACGGATTCCAATCCCTTCTCATTCTCAAAGGTTTCGGAAGATTTTTAACAAAGAGTTTTAATTGGTGATATCTCCATTCATCTATTTTAATAAAAAGTTCTCTTTTATCTGTTTTCAAGTCCTTAAGTGTTCTCAACTGCTGTCCATCCATTATATCTCTCAGTTGAATATCCTCTTTTTTGAACCATTTTCCTATACTCTCTTCCCTACCTGGGGGAAAAAAATCTGTGTTCCTAAGTGATATTAATTGTGAATTGAAATCCCATTTCATATATTTGTGCAAATTATCCCACACCTTAAAAACATTTACTGTGAAAACACTCGTGGAATCTTTTAAACCTCTATACTTTGCTGGAACCCATATATTTTTACTCAAGGTAGATCCGCTTAAATCATTTTCGATCTTAACCCACCTTTTTCCCTCTGGGTTATGTGTCCAATCGTACATTCTCGCTAAGATTACAGCTCTATAGTACCTCTTTATGTCTGGCATTCCCAATCCTCCCTTCTCCTTATTTCTACTCAGTAGGTCATATGATATTCTAGGTTTTTTATTTTTCCATATATATCTTGTTAACATCTTTTTTATTACTTTAAAGAATGCCTCGGGATTTTAACTGGGACCATCTGAAATTTATATAAGATTTTAGGTACAATTACCATTTTTATCAGGTTTATACGCCCTATCCAAGATGGGTTACCTCTTCCCATTTTCCTTAATTCCTCCTTGATCTCATTTAAGAGTGGAATATAGTTTAACTTATATAAATTCGTATAAGAAGCAGATAATTTAACCCCTAAATACTTTATCTCTCTATTTTTCCATATAAAAGAGAATTCTTTTTGTATATTTTTTCTTTTTCGCTACTTGGGAGATTAACATTTAAGATCTCAGTTTTTGATGGATTAATTTTCAGGTTTGCTAGCTCCCCATATTCCTTTAAGCTCTTCATTAAGTTGGGAAGTGTTATCCTCGGATTTCCCACATAAAACAGCAGGTCGTCAGCGAAAGCTGCCACTTTATGTTCTTCGCCTCCTATCTTCACCCCTGTTATATCTATATTCTTCCTAATTGTTGCCAGCAAAGGTTCCAGCGACAGAACATAACAGCAATGGGGACAGTGGACATCCCTGTCTAGTTCCATTTGACATTCCTATAGTATCTGACTTCTCCCCATTAACCACTATAACCGCGGAAGGCTCTCTATACAGCTTTCCTATCCACTCTCTCATTCTTGCTCCCACTCCTAAAGTCTCCAGGTGTCCATCATAAAGCTCCAGTTTACTCTATCAAATGCTTTTTCAGCATCAATCGAAAGCACCACTACTGGCGTTTTCCCCTTCTTGCCTTCTGGATAAGCAACAGAGATCTTAAACCATTGTCTCTACCCTCTCTTCCTGGCACAAATCCCACTTGATCTGGCTGGATCCAATCTTGGCATTAGATCTTTTAATCTATTTGCTAAGACCTTTGCATATAACTTTGTATCGATTTTCAGAAGTGATATTGGTCTATAACTAGAGCATTGAGAAGCATCCTTCCCCTCCTTTTGAATTAATACCACATGGGCCTGTAAAGATTCCCGTCTCATCTCCATCTCTCCTCCCAGGGCATTCATATATTCCTCCATTTTTGGTAGTAACAAGTCGCTATATTTTTTTATAGTACCTCACTGTATAATCATCTGGGCCTGGACATTTCCCCTTTATGGTACTTTTTAATGCACTTTTTATTTCTTCCTGTGTTATTTCCATATCTAGGGAATTCAATAGATCCTCACTTAACTTCGGTAATCCTGCGTTTTTAAGATACGCTCCTCTTTTTTCTCTACTCTCTTTCCCACCTATATTGACTAAGTCTTGAGGGGCAATATTATACAACTTACTATAGTATTCTCTGAACACTCTAGTGATCTCTTTGGTAGAATAAACCATTTCTCCGTTAGGGGTCCTTATTTTTTCTACATAATTTCTATTTTTCTTTTCCCTCAAAGCTCTCATCAAGTATCTACCTGGCCTATCTGCCCATCTATATCTCTCACTAGCAACTTATTAAAGATTCTTCTCTTCTCCTCCTCCATCAAAAACCCTAGTTCTTCTCTCTTTTTTACCATCTTCTGTCTTATCTCATCTGTTCTTTTAATTTTATGTATCTGCTCCAATTCACTTATTCTCTTAACAGTCCAGTGAGTTTCTCTCTTCTTTCCCTTTTCTTTTTTGCCCCGATCGCAATCAGTATACCTCTTATATAGGCCTTATGGGTCTCCCACACTGTGGCCACCGACACCTCCCCTGTCTCATTCTCCTGAAAAAATCTTTCGATTTCTACTCTAATTTTCCGGTCGACCTCGGGATCTAGAAGGAGAGCTTCATTCAACTTCCATCCTGTCCCTCCTGACAAACATCTCCCCCACCTCAGTTTCAATGTAACCGGAGCATGGTCAGAGATAGAAATCTCTTCAATTTCTATTTTGTCCACCCTATCTATGAGTTGGTGGTCAACTAATATGTAGTCCAGTCTGGAATACATCCCGTGGGCATTAGAAAAGTAAGTGTAATTTCTCTCTTTTCCATGTGTCACCCTCCAAATATCCACCAATTGACACTCATACAACACGCCCTTCAGATTTTTCAAAGCTCTACCTCCCTCTCTCTGCACCGATGAAGTCGTGTCCATTTGTGGGTCCATGCAAAAATTCAAATCCCCCGCCACTATCAGAAGACCCTCCTTAAATGCCATCAATTTTCTCAGAACTCCCTTCAGGTATACCTCCGGTCTCTTATTTGGGCAATAAATATTCACAATAGTACATTTCTGTTCTTGTAATCTACCCTTCAAAAATAGAAATCTCCCCTCCGGGTCTGTTACTCTATCTTCAATCTCCCACCTTATATTCTTTGCAAACCCTATTGCTACACCCTTAGCTCTTTTAATCGGGGAATCAGAACAGAACCATGTTGGATATTTTCTTGAGTACAGCTTTACATTTGATTTCATTTCTAAGTGAGTCTCCTGCAGAAAAACCACTGAAGCCTCTCTGTGCTGTAGCTCCTTGAAAACTTTAAACCTCTTCCCTGGGCAGTTCAAACCTTTTACATTATATGTTAAAAATCGCAAGTTATCCATCAGTCTTGTATCAATTTATTCTTATTCCCCGCTCTAGCATGCAGAGACTTAACCCTAAGGCCCCCCCTAACCCTCTTATCATATCCCGCTCCCCCTAAACACCCTCCCACTCTCACCCCTCCTACTACTCACTCCACTCCACCTCCCCCCGCCCCCCCCCCCTATTTAGGCCTTCAAGCCGCCTATCAATCATTTGTGGTAATGAACCCACCTTTGATTTTTATACCTGGGGATTGAACTCCTCCCATGTACGACTTACCCCCCCTCCAACCTCCACGGTTTCCCACGCCTGTTTTATTTCTTTAACCTTAGCGATGCAGTTTAGTGAGATAGTTAGGGAGAGAAGAGGAAAAAAAAAAAAAAAAACTCACACTCTCCCAACTAACTCCTCGCTACCCCTCCCCTACCTACTTCCTGCCATACTTCTTTTCCCCCAAAGCCTATTTCTATCTCTGTTTCCCACCCACTGATCCTCATTCTCTGCAATTCCAGTCTGTCACAGAAGTCTCTTAAGTCCTCAGGAAATCTCAAAAATGCTGAAACACCGTTCTTCCATCCGATTAAACACTCTGGGTTACCCCATCTGTATTGCACATTCCTTGATCTCATCTGCTCTAACAGGGGCCTCAAAGCTCTTCTTCTCCACAAAGTCTCGTGCGATAAATCCGCAAAAATCTGGAAATTTATATCTCCATACTGAATAGTTGTTCTTCCTTTAGTCCTTCTCCAAATCTCTTCCTTATCTCCATATTTTTGCAACTGAACAATCACATCTCTTGATTTTTCCTTCGCTTTACCTTGTTGGGGCTTTCCTGCTCTAACAACTCCATCTAGTTTAAGTTCCTCTGTTACAGGTCTGTCCATGATGGAATTTAAACATTTTGCAGACTATTTCTTCTAATTCTCCCCCTTTCAGGATATCTGGATTCCTCTTATCCTCAGGTTGCTTCTCCTGGACCTGTTCTCCTGTACTTCTATTTTATACTGCAGTTGTTTCTGCATATTCCTCATCATAGCGGACTTTTTTTCTAAGTCTGTTATGTCTTGGGTATGTTTGTTAATTTTTTCCTCCATTTCTTCCGTTCTCATTAGCAGGTGCCCTAGATCCTGACGTATATTTGTCATTTCTTGTTTAATAGTTTTTTCCAGATCCTTAAACATTTCAGCCATCTCTCTTTTATTTGGCACTTGTAGATCTTTTACCAGGTCTATCCTCACGGAATTTTCTTTCCACTGTTGGTTACTATTTTCCGGGCCCAATGACAATCTAGGACTGTTCTCCAAGGAGGTTTCCATTTCCCCTTTTTTTCATTTCCACTGTTGGCCCTTTCTGGAGTCGCATTCCCCTGGGAGGTATACTTTTTAATTGTACCTGTCTGGGACCCTTTAAGCCCACTACCTTTAACACTTTTATTCTTCATATCTTCTGCACTGACTGTGCTCTTTAATCAGGGGGAAATTTTAAACTGTATATTGGGGTAATGATGTCAGACAGGCTCTGTCAATTTAACACCTCCTTTTTCTTTTCCACTGTTCACTTTCCAAATCCCCTGGGAATCCCCCTTTTTTCTTTATAGGCAATTTCAAAGTCCTTTCCCACAGGTCAGCAAGCTTAAACAATTATTTGCGTGTGGACTCACCCTTCTTCACCTACTCACCCAGTGGGTCGACATAGATCCTCAGCCGTCCACTCGTTACATCTGGCCAATGTCTCTGGGGGATTCCTACAGGGTCTCCTATGAACTGTGGCTCCTGTTCCTCTTTCCCTCTCCTGTATGGTAGGATTGGGGTTTGAACCGGCGTCTCCGCTCTCCTGGTTGGGACTCGGCACTTGACAGGGAACCGGCCGGCGTCTCAGCTTCCCAGAAGCTCCCTTGCGGCCAACCCACGTGCTCACTCCTCCTTACTGCATCTCCCCGGCAACCGAGCAGCTGATCGCGGATCTCCGTAGCACGCTCTCCTCCCTTAGCTCGGCTCCCGTCCCTTCAGAGCGCCGGCATCTCTCCCCCTGGAGACCTCCTTGCTCAGGTAGGTCTCCACAGGACTAAGCAAAGGGGGGTTTCCGTGGTGGTCTGGCTTGGAGGCTGTCGGAGAGCACTCACATCGTGCTCTCCGGCGCCGCCATGGTTAGGCTCCTCCCCCAGAAAGCTGTATCCAAAACTTGTTGTTGACAGGACCACTCCTCAAATCCACCGCGGCAGTGGAGAGGGTGTCTCCTCTCAGCGGAGGAGAGCGGACCTCTCCTGCACCTGTCCCCTCAGCGGTGCTGCCAGTGTAATGGTGGTGCCAAAGAAGCCTGAAACCGGAAGTTGGAAATCGGAACTCGGCTTCACAATGAGGCTTGGAGCGCAGGTGCAGCTGCTCCATCATCTGCGCTCGCCGCACAAGAATTTCTCCTCGCATTTTGCGAGCGGGCGAGCAGCTTTTTCAAGCCCTGATATAGCAGCTATCATGAACACATTAGATTCAGCCATCTCTCCCCTCGCTCTTCTGTGAGTTCCCCAAAGATGGTTCTGCATACAAGGTGACTCTTAGTTCTAGGCCCCAAGGATCTCCTAAACCAAGCCACAGACCTTCTAAGTAATGTCAGGAGTAGCAAGGTTCTTCCACCTTCTCCCTTGGGTGTCGATATCTATTCCTCCTGGCAGTCCTGCCATGCAGAGGGTTCTCTCTCTCACTCTTACAAAGGCCAGAGACCAACATGGTGTTAGTCAGGGGTGACCTGATCCCATGCCCGAACTGCCAGACCCCACTCACAGCAGCTATTAAAAAAGGGCAACAACTCCACACACTGATATCACCAGGGAAGAGCATTCCTGTCTCTGCATCACCCAGCTCTTTCTTGCTGACCTCATCATCCCCCTCCATAGTGGAGGAACACCATTCAACTAAAGGATGGATCACTTTCCGATATCTGAATCTTTTCCTCAGCCCCTGCACACACCAGGACACACGCAATCACATTTGGTAATTCCTCCAGTTTGCATTCCTTTGGGCATCCCACAACATCCCCAGCCAGTCCTCCATGTTTTCTATAAAGAAAATTTCACTTTTCACCTTGTAGCCGACATTCGTTCACAAGTGAGGTTCTTCTATCTTCTCCCTTGGGAGTCCATATCTTATCCCAATAGCAGTTCTGTGTGCAGAGAGTTCTTTCTCTCGTACACAATCCACAAACCTACATGGTGTTAGTCAGGGGTGACCTGTCCCCAACCACAGTAGCTAATAAAAAAGGGGAACAACTCCACCCACTGACATCACCAGGGGATGAGCATTATTAAAAAGGCACTACACCCTACACTGGCCAACAAGGGGACATCTGATTTCAGTTCATTCTTTGAACAAATATGCTATACTTACCTGCTCTGTGCAATGGTTTTGCACAGAGCAGCCTGGTTCTTCCTCTTCTCGAGATCCCTCGCCAGCGCTCCTGGCCCCTCCTTCCTGTCGGGTGAGCCCACAGTAAGCAGCTTGCTATGGGGGCATCTGAGCAGGTGCACTCCCGAGCTGCAGCTCTGCGTATCCATTCACATATAGAGCTGTGGCTTGGCCCTGCCCCCTCCCTCTCCTGATTGGCTCACTGGCTGTGATTGGCAGCAGTGGGAGCCAATAGCTTCCGCTGCTACTTCAGCCAATCAGGAGTGAGAGTCCCTGGAGAACTGAAGCTCTCGTGGAAATCGCTGCATTGGGATGGGGCTCAGGTAGGTGTTGGGGGAGCTGGGGGGCTGATATAAAAACAGAAAGGTTTTTTACCTTCGTGCATAGAATTCATGAAGATAAAAAAAAATTTGAGCCTTTACAACCCATTTAAGTTGCTACAGTCACCAACTAACAAACTGTATTTTATCTAAGGATAAGCAAATCTGCCTGGATTCAGTTCATGAACAGTTTCTCAAATAATGTTTAAATTTACAAGTTTTCAAACTTTGCAGCAATCCCCACTGAAATCTATGAGGATCAAAACTTGTTATTCAGTTCTGGCCACCTATAAGTCTATTAGGTAAGCTATTATCAAGCAAAAGGCATGAGAAGCTGGGAACTGCCATGGGGACACATGCTAGTGTCAAAATTAACCACTTGCCTACCAGGGACATTTTTTTATTTTTCGCATATAATAAAATCTGCATTTTTTTTATAGAAACTATTGTGAACACACAAAAAGTATACATTTTCTGAAAGCAGAGGCCATGAAGAATAAAATGATGGTAGTTTTGGGCTGATCACCTGTTGTGCTATTGTATCGTATCAGCAGGGACTTCACTGCCAGACTTTTTCAGACGTTCTCAGACTGTCAATCTCTTTTTTAGAGAGCAATGGTGATTTTTGTTTTTATATTCCTTTTTTAACACCGACTTTTGTACAAACAAATTTATATATTTGTCCCAATCAAAGAGATTGAGATCGGTCGATGAAACAAACGATAGTCCTTTTTCTAGGACACTAATATATTCATGGTTTAAGACATCTGAGGGAAGATTAAAAATCCTTAATATACCTTTATTGCTACTAGTCAGCTCCAATTCTAAGGTATTCTGTGAGCCTATAATTTCCAACTCTACTTCCCCTCCCTGTGCCTGTATACTCATAGACAGAAAAGGACAAAAACCAAGGGTAAAGACAGTGGGGTCAGTGCTACTTTTCAACGGCTGGCTTATCTACAATTAACAAGGGTGCGTTTGTATAATATCCAGGTCTTTAGAATGGCCATATATGCAGTCTACATGTTGTAAACCCTACTGCTCACAATGCCATTACCATTACCATATATGGATAACAACATCTACACTACACTCTAGTAGTGGACTTTATTATGAAGAGGCTCACTAAACTTGGCCGTTATGTCATGCCTACCTGCATTTCCAATAAGTGATACTATTCAGGCCTGCGGAACTACTATCTTCATTGATATACCAGAGGAATCAATTTCACCATACTGCCATATTGCCATTAGGGACACACCTATCATTGATGGATCCGTATTAGCTACCTCCATCCATTTATATAGCTCTATGTGGGCCAATGTTAATTTTGTGATGTATGGGATATAGCTGAAACGTTTATTCTCATGATTTGTTTGTCTTCTATTTACTTTACTCTTTTATAGTTCCTCTCGGTACCTTTTCCTTCTCATGGATTATACACACTATCCATAGGCCTATTATCATTTAATCAGGTGTTGGGGCTACTGCGTGCACGGTGTCACCTTGAATGATCATGTCATTCTTTTCTTCATTATCTCTTTTGGTGATGGTGAGGTATTTCCTTCCTAGGTTGTTCCGCTAAGTTTTGTTCCATATCCGTGTTTTGTACTGCAATAAATGTTTTGTAATTTTCCATTTAGAAGCCGCAGTTTGTCCTCATTTGGACCCCCTTAACCCATGGGTTCTTTACCCTTGGTTTTTGTCCTTTTCTGTCTATCAGTATTGCCTGGGTCCCGAGGACACCACATATGTGAATCTATGTGAGTTGGTCTTAGTTATTGGGGTTACCATTATTTATACATGGTTTATATTTTTGTACCCCCTTCTCTCCCTCTTTGATGAATTTTTTCAATTCAGTCTGCTACCGCGAAAGTCTTGGTTTATTTTATTCTTTTATATGCCTGTATAATCCCACTGGCCTCAATTTTTCAATGATTGTGCTTATCCCACAATGATCTAACACGTCAATCTCTTTTCCTCCGTTCTCTTTGTGATTATTGTCTGGATTCTACTGGGCTAATTGCTATATTTGCTGCCCTTTTTTTATTTAATTAAAAAAAAAAATTGTAAACCCAACATTTCATATGCCTGATATGTGCCTGCTGCACCAAGTATTTGTATGAAAAGGTATCCTGTTCTATTTTTATTGCTTCCTTTGTGTGAAATCCCTGGTATTTCTGCCAGTCCCTGTGCTTTCCAATTAAAAACTGACCAGACTAGGCATGAAAGTACAGCATGGTCAGTAGTTTTCTGGCTGTGTTGGGAGCTAATCCATTGATCAGGCTTGTGCTGACTTGCCCCCAATTCATGACCATTCCCTGGGAAGATCAGTGTGCTGCTGTGTCTCCTCCCCCAGTTCCTTATATGGCTCAGAACAGAGGGTACATAATCACTTATAAAAAAGGGGAAAAATAAGGTATTTATCAATTTTTGTATATGTATACTTAAATGTTTTGCCTTTCATTACTATTTTAAACTGAATAGGTTGTTTTACAGGGCTTACATATGCTTTAACAAGATTTAGAAATTGTTAAGCTGATTCTCTAAATGCCCTAAACAGAAATATAGGACTTACTGCTTCTTTGAAGAATTTTAAACTCTGTTATCTTCTTGTCTGCATGGCAGTGAACACCACAGACATTTTCTAAAGATCAAGATTGTTGCAGCAGATATGATGAATGTTGTGTTTTCATTTCCATTCCATTTTGTGTTGATATTTCCTGTTAATATTGTAACTGGGATAATGTGTGCTAGCAGGGTGGAAGGTTTTGTGCAGTGTACAGTGTGCTGCATGTATGCAGCAACGGAGCAACAGCTCCAGGATGGATACCGCTGCGACAGATGTGAGTGGTTTGCCCTTCTGGAAACTCGCGTTAGAGACCTGGAGGAGGTCTTCTGCTCTCTGAGCAGGTAGCTAATGAGATTGATGTGGAGGGCGGAGGGGCTAATCAGGATTATCAGATAGGAAGATGGGTTACTGTAACGAGAGGGAGTGGTAGGGACCCACAGAAAAGGAAGGCTGACCCTGGGTTTGTGCACCCAAACAGATTTGCCAAGTTGGGTGAAGATGTGGGGGTGGCAAGCTCAGGGGTGGCAGCCTTGGATGTCACTGCTATTCCTAACAGTCGGAAGGGCAGACCATCTGGGAGGGGTGGTGAGGGTAGTGCACGAAGGCCTAGACAGCTGGTGGTAGTAGGGGATTAAACAGAAGGACTGATAGAATAATTTGTCGCCAGGATTGCCTCAACCGAATGGTTTGCTGTCTCCCTGGTGCCAGGGTTCGGCATGTGGTGGACCAGGTAGATAAATTACTGGGAGGGGCTGGGCATGACCCAGCTGTCTTGGTTCATGTTGGAACAATGACAGAATACATGGAAGGTGTAGGCTCCTTAAGAATCAATTTAAAGAACTAGGCTGCAAGTTGAAGGGAAGGGCCTCCAAGGTGATATTCTCTGAAATATTACCTGTGTCATGCGCAACTCAGGAAAGACAGGGAGAGATTAGAGAACTCAATGCATGGCTGAAGACCTGGTGTAAGAGGGAAGGATTTGGGTTTCTAGAGCACTGGGCTGACTTTTCATTGGGGTGCAACCTATATGCTAGAGATGGTTTGCACCTAAATGGAAGGGGGTCTGCTGTGCTAGGGGAGAGGTTTATGGGAAGACTGGAGGAGTATTTAAACTAGGATGGAGGGGGGAGGGAGAATTAGATTATAACGGTGTAGACAGATCAGTCAGGGGTCAGTAC